GTGATGCTAATGAATGTTGCTTGCAAACCTACCCAAGTGGCCATTCATATTACAGATGCATCATCTCTTTTGCAAGATATTCAGTGTCCCAGGTACATCTAAGTCTTGGAGAATTGTAACTGGAAGCAGAATTCCTTGACCAGGCATTCCTCTTGCATTTATTATAAACTTTTTAGTCATCACTAGTCGCCCTAAATGAACTGCTACAACAGTGCCAAAATCACACAGACGAGCAGTCATGAGAATTAAACTATGCTAGTAATCAGACAAAGAGGGAGTCTATAGAAAATAATCTGGAAGATAAAAAATGGCAAAATGCAAATCTATATCTATAAAGATCAGCTCAACAACCATTGCACTGGGATTAAGCATCTAGCAGGCAGCATTTCAGATCAGTATATCGTTTTTTAATTTACCCTTTTTAAGGACGAAAGTGTTAAGTGAGCAATATTTCCCTTCCCAAAATTTTAGGATATTTCCCAGCACTACCAACCAATCAAAGAATACTGACCCTAATTTCTTTTGGGGGAAGGAGAGAAACAGAAGATAATTAGAAAGCATTACAAATGGAAGATGACAATGTCAGAAGCCTCCAAATCCTATGAAATTCCCTGAATGAGCTAGGAAGATTGTGGAATACATTTGCAGACATTATTTGGAAAGACTGTAATTTCATACTCACCTGGAGATTTACATCGTCCTACATAGCTGTCAGCAACACTTCTGGCCAAACAACAGGGAATTACAAGCTGAGCCACTGTAATAAAAACACATATGTTGAGAAAGATTCAAGATTCAGGAAGTTTAAAACATTCCCTTTTAAAAAAAAAATGTATTGAAATGAACGGACTGGTTCACAAATGAGTACATTGATAAAGTCCATAGCCCATTTGATTTGATTCTTAACCTCACTGGGACTACTAATTCAGATCTAGAGATACCTACTCAGAAGTAAACTGTTCAAAGTGCAGACATAAGGCTTTGTTCTGCCCACATCCAGAGCAGATCACATAATGGCTTAATGAGCACCCCAAAATAATGCTACAAAGTACAAAAAGCATTGCTTTTATCCATCATTGTCAGAAATCACCATTTCAAGTTGAAATAATATGTCATCACTTCTTGGAAAGGTCCAGTTCTCCAATTCCTTATACTTTATATATATACATGCACATACAGCCTCACAGGGAAAATAAATATTTTTAAAATCCTCAAAGAAAAATCCTTAAAGAAATGGAGAAAGAGATTTCTCTCCAAAAAAATATTCATTTCTGGCCTTTTCTATAATGACATAGTTTCCAACTCACAGAAAAGTGAAAAGAATTTCATATTTGATGTGTCACTCTTCAAGGTTTCAGCATAAGCAGTTAGTTCATTCTTTTTCCACCTCTGCTTCATGAGTAAATCAAATTGTGTAGCTGTGCATGAGTTTCGCATCTCTGAATTAGGAAAGAATAAGTTCAACCAATTTTTCATGCTCACCTCAGATGACTGAACACTTCCATCCTTTGTGGGGTTTTTTATCACTTGAGATGAAGGCAGTTGCATATGAACAAACCAAGAGAGGTTTGTACATACGCTTATGAGAGCAGTTCTCTAAAAGTTCCACACACTCAGTCCTCAGGATTCAAATTCAAATTCTGCCCTCAGGAAAAGTAAAACTAGTAAAACTAGTGGGTACGTTTTTCAAGATATTCAGCTGATCATGTATGTCCAAAGTTATAACAACCTTGATCTCTATTTTGAGGTATCTTATTAATTTTATGTCCACAGAGCTGGAGTCACATTTAATCCTCATGAAAATATTTATCTTACATGTGTATAATTTCGTTTTCGTGGCTACCTTCTCCCCTTTCATTCATTTCTTGCATTATCAGATAAGCTGAGTTTAGAGCAATCTGCCTAGTCTTGGTTTAGCCTTAGAACTGATCCCTGTTTAGTTTGCTGTATTGCCTAAGGCAGCAACTATATGACCAGGTTTGCACAACAGATGTAACTGGGTAAGCTGCCTTTGCAGAACTCACCAACCGCAGTTAGGTTAATTTATTTCGGTTTCTTTATGATGCTTTGTAAATCCAGCCCTTTTGTTACGTCATCGCTCAGTGTACTGAGGTGGATTAGTGGAGCAATCAAGCTGTGTCTGTGCAGGCCATGTTCCTTCAGTAAATGAGAGCTTTACAGAGATAAGCTGAATGTTAACCAGGGGGTGTTTGTGTCTAAAATTCAGTATGGGGTTATATCATAATTTCCTTCTTTCCACAAACTACCCTTTCTAATCTTCAAACCCATAAATTACAAATTCATTTTTCTTTTTTCAGCAAAAAGTCCATAAGGGGTTTCCAGTCATTGATAAATATAGTGATTGGTCTTTCTCTAATGGAACATGTTAATTTTGCCATCTCTGCTAGTTCTGTCATCTTCACCAACCTGATGTGGGTATTTCAGAATCTTTCCATTTTTGCACATATAATAGTAATCATATATAAAAATAATCTTCCATGGCTCTTTTCTAATTGACTGTCCCAGCAAAAAAGTTCTGGTTTCAGTTGAATGTTGACCTTTAAAATTCTTTGTATCATTATATGTATTTGAACCCAGAAATTTCTGGCTTTTTTACAAGTGCACCAAGTATGATAAAATGATCCTTCATGTTGTCCATGTTTCCAACATAAATTTGAAGTACCTTTATACTTTACTCCTTTAGACAATTTTTCTGGAATCATATACCAATGGTACATCATTTATAAAAATTCTCTTTTAAGTTATAACACAATGTAAATTTCAAAGCTTTTAACCACGTATTTCCTCACTGTTCCATCAGTATATTGTGTCCAAAATCCTTAGCCCATTTTATCATAAGTCTTTCACTTGTTCTTCTTCCATTTCAAATTTCAGTAAAAGCTTATACATTTTAGCAATTATATGTTCATCATTTGTACATAGTTCAATTCTGTCTTCTGTTGTTCAATTCCAAGTGTCCTATTATCTACCTTAAATCTTTTCCTTAACTGTGCATACAAAAACCACTGAAAATTAAATCCCTCTGCAGTCAATTGCTCTCTTGATTTTAAAATAGAAATGCATTTATAACCACTGTAAAAAAAAAGATTGAAAGCTGCTTCTTTAGAATCTTTGCTGTTCTTTCCTCTTTCTTTTTTATTTCATTTCCTATTTTCTTCTTCATTCACTATTCTTCCTTATCTTATTACTTTCTTTTCTAATATTTGTATTGTTTTTATTTTGTTAAAATTTTCTTCAATAAAAATTATATTAAAAAAATAAAGTTCAATAAGGAGAACAGGAAGTCATACTTGCTGGATGCATCATCCCTTCCACCAAGGTGTTCACCAAATCCATGGTGCAAAACAGAGGAGGGATCACCTAGTTTCTTACTTTCCTTCTCTATTCTACTGCCATTATGTACGTAAAAGCATTAAAGCAACATTACGCGCAGCACAGAAGAAGGTAACCAATAATAAGCCAAAGAAATTAAGGTATGAGTTAATGAAAGGAAAAGTAAATATATCTAAGTCTCATTTTCACCAGCATCATTCATTATCTCATCTTACTTCTCTGTCCTTCCTTCCACCATGTCCTGTACCAATTCATACATTGCCATCTGATTTTATACTTCTGGCTTGTCTATGTTGAAAATTGTCAGCTACACCCAATTAAATTTTTCTTGGTTTTCCCCTTCCTCTCAACTTATTCACTTTTCCTTTGTATATTTCTTTGGCAATTTGATCCTCATTCCTTCTCTCAATATGACCAATTCAACATGCTTCTTTCACACTGACTGTTCACTTTTGTATTCAGTCCACATTCATTCAACACCCATTCATTCTATATCCTATTTCTTCTTGTTTTATCACAACATCATCAGTTTCTCATGAATTGAATATGCAACAACATGAAAAATAGACATATATCCACTATTTGTGTATTTATTTTTAAGACTATACTAACATGGAGCTGTACATGTAATCACCAGAAGCTGAGTTTGACTTTTTTATTTTAAAAATAAAGGAGAAAGTAATACTTTTGAAGGGTGAATTGAAAAGAGAACTATTTATTTGTATTCTCTTTTTGAGAGTAAAGTGAGATTTGAAGTTATGTTTGACAATATCAACAAAATGATGAATTTTAACTTTCCCTGTCCCCCAAATCCAACTAAACTATTAAAATTAATTTCTGTGTTACTAGTCTCTAGAGAGCATTTTGCAGCATGCTTAAATGCATTTAATGCATATTTCAAATTAAAATACTTTCTAGTCCTCATTCTGTTTTAAAACCTATTATCCTGCTCTGGAACTGGAAAATGAAAAAATGTAATAATGTTAGAGTACTGTTCAGACATGGCAATAAACTTCAAAAAAACATCCATCAATGAACATCAGGCATCTTATTCTTCACTTTGTGATCATACCACAATGTTGTTTCAGAATGCAATGTTTTACTTTACTACCTGGGGGTGAATACAACCTTGTTCCTATCTTTGGTAAAGAGTTAAACCACCTTTTATATCAAAGTCCCTGGTGTAGATATGTTTATGGATTGACAAGCTCATTTGGAATTGGCTGTCATGGTGGGTATGGCCAGTCATGGAGCACACATTTTTCAGAATGCAACACACCAAGGCCCAAAGAAATGGAGCTGCTCAAGTCTCTACATCTAAGAGGTTGAGACTAGGTTCCAAACCACAAAAATACTCCCCCACCCCTAAAATTCAACCTTGATGAAAGATTTCACACAAAAATCCCTATGTCATTTGAAAGGGCAAAAGAACTTCCATAAGTAAAATCTGATGAAATCACATCATACATATTCTCAAACCTTCACATTATACACTAAGGGCAGTGAAAGCTTAGCCCATACTGTAAGAGTGCAAACTAGATATCCAACCTGGGTGCTGTCATACTACAGGAGTACAAACTACATATCCAACCAGTACTGTCCATGACAGCCCCATGCTGTCTTCCTCAACCCTTGCCTAATCATTCTCAGCATGCCACTTCTCCTCCAGATTTCTTGCACTGCTCTCCTAGCCTTCTGGATTTCAGAATATCATTAATCAACTAGGTGTTCTTAGCTAATTCTCAAGGAAGTCCACCAGTCAAACTGAGGGTAAGTTGTGGTATAGAGTTACTACCAGCACACAGGATCCCAAAAGCAAGGCAGAAAAGGTAGGCAAGGCAAAGCAGAAGATTAGGGTCTCAGGAAGCAAATACAGCATAGCAATCACAGGACAAAATGTAGTGAAAGTGATGAACTGAATCCAAACAGCAAAGATTCCAGGAGTCCAATGCAATTATGTTCTGAGGCATAGAAAGCAGGCTGTAATTGTGCTTGGATAAAGCCTTAAATACACATCTCTCAGCCTTTGCTGTATGACTTCAAGGCCACGTGGTCTTACTGAACAGTTCTTCTTGTGCTCTCTGCAAATGTGCAGCCCTTCTTCTTTTTCTTTTGGATCTCAGCCAAATGGTCAAGACCATTTCCAGATTTTTTTTGCTTGGTACTTCAGATATTTAGAACAAAATATTTCCTATTGCAACTATCCTTTAATTGTATTTTTACATGAGTGGAGGATATGTAAGGGCCATATATGAACTCTAAACTCCTTCTCTATGGATAGTATGGTACAAACATCTCTCTTTTTCTTCAGTTCTCCTTGCCTTAAGAAGTACAGGTAGGAGAGAATTTTGCCTCCTTAGATATTCAGTTTAAATGCTGCTATCAAATATGGAACCCTAATCTTGTCAAGATTCAGACTATAGGACCATATATGAAGCTCTGCAGTGACAATATGATGCAAACGTTAAATATATAATTAATAACACAAAGTCAGAAAACAGTAGATCATTTAAAATAAACTTGCTGCAGACATAACCACAGTGGCTTAACTGAACACCTCTTCTTAAGTATTTAATAGTTCAATTTTCCTTCCTTTGTGGCTTTTCTGATACAGATGCTTTTATAGCTACGTTTCCCCCCAGACTTGTTTCTATCATGTACTCTGCAGAAATATCACAGGAAGCAATGCAACCAATTCATTTTCCAAATGGTCAAATTATACAGGTTCTTCTTATAACAAGTAAAACTATCCTGGTAGTTTTAGCTTCTTGTGAGAGAAGCGAAACTCACAGAAGTTAAGACCCTGGAGGTAGTTGAACTACACCTTTCAGCATCCCTCACCATTTGTCAGGCTCTAAGGCTACTGGGAATTGAACTTCAGTAGCAACTGGAAGGCCACAGGCTGTCCACCCCTCAGTTTGAATTCAACATATTTTCTTTACTCATGGGACCTCAGATGATGTGTATCCGATATAATCTTGGTAGCTGCTTTCATATTACATAGATAAGCAGATCAGTTTAAGATATAGTGTTACGTTAGCATATGCTATGCTTGCTTAAATTAAAAACAAGTATGCAAACAGTGTCACTCGTGGACCACATACGGCCCATCAACATTCTTTTCACAGAACCACTCTATTAAGCAATGCCAACTGTCCTTTTTATGCATTCCTTTGAATGTTGGGTGGTTTCAGAGTGCATGATGGGTGCCTTAAGCCTTGCAGATCACTCATTGCCAGATCCTAGATCCTATGCAAGTAATTACCTAGGACTGTTATCTTCTGTAGTACCAAAAAAATGTAAGGAATAAATTAATAAAGAGCAGCTGGGGGCTTAGAATTAAGCTTCATAAAATTGGTGTTCCAGAATTCAGAATACAATCAAGAAATGTGACTTACAAGAAAATGTCATGATTTATATTTCCCCCTACTCAGTTAGTTTGCTTACTCCTCCTTGGACTGTTTTGATTTCTCCCTCTTTAGGATTTGTATGTGTACACATGTGTGGAGGGATGGTCCTACTGTAGATGTTGGAACTCTACAGAGCTTGGTGGTGCATGCATTGTGCCACTTCAGCAGTGCAAGAATTGGCATGAAGAATTATAGCATTGGGAAATAAAGGGAATGAGGACCATGCTGTACTGTAGGGAAGGAAAATGTAACTTCCTGAGAGAGGACTTGATTTTCATACGGAAAATCCTGGCTCAATCCTTGGCATTCAGT